AGTTGTTCTTTGGAAACCGTCATTGTGTTCGTATCTTTCTGTAGAGCGAACCGTTTCTTAAGTAGCTATCTTGAATACCACATCCCTACGTTTTCCTCATCATATATTTCTCATTTGTATATGGTTTCGCAAATGGCCTTTGAAGGGCAATGGCGCCTGCAAATGGCCTTGAGCAAGTGCCTGCAAGATTGGTCTCACTTTTTATATTTAAATATTTTGGGGCTTGGTAGTTTTTATTTTTCGGTACTAATTACAAGTACGATTTTGTTTTCAATCTTTTTTTTAATGTATTACATTATTTTTATAGGGGCCCTGGTTTGATTCTAGGCTTGGTAGTGTTTTCAATCTTTTCTAGTGTATTACCTTATTTTTCTAGGGGCCATGGTTTGATTCTAGGCTTGGTATTGTTTTCCATGGTAAGTTTGTGGTTTCTTTCTATCACAGAATCATATGCATGATTGATTTATATGTAATACACTTTACTTTCGATTTGATAAAGAGTGGTGATTTCCCCACTCCTTTTTCTCCTATTTTATCCACTTACACTCCTTTTTTATAACTAAAAAAGGAGTGTAAGTGGATAAAATAGGAGTGGGGAAATCATTGCCCTTGATAAAAAGAGATTTACCAATTCTATATTGTTCATTTGGAAATATGGTATGTAGGGCCTTTTATTTTTGTCGTCCTAGGCCTTGGAAAACACAAGGCCGGCTCCAGCATGGGCCTGTTGAAGGTAGAAAAAGGCTTGAATACTTTCGAGACATGAACATGATTAATGGTGAAGTGATGGTAAAATCCTATAATCATGACAAAGATGATTCCAAAGCACAAAGGCTATTGCAGCAGCCGAGAACCGAGACAATGGAATGAGACAGACATAACAACGCCAGGAAACCTACGGTGCGGATTTGATCCCTTTCTTTTCATCCAATTACTTTTTAGCATCTTCAATGAAGGAGTTGTAATTTTCCAAAATAAATAAAAAAGAACTTGCTTATTACGATTTTTCCCATGGGTCCATTTTATTTCGAAAGAGAATTTTTTTTATTTTATATTTTTTTTCTAAGACATAATTTTGTCCCCCCTTGAAACTTGGTTGGTTGGTCTTGAGAAAACCAACAAAAAATGGCGATTGTTTTGCAAGCTACCAAGTTATTACTGTCTTTTTACTGGCACAACGCGATATTGCCATCAAAAAAATAAACATAGCATAAACTACATCTATCTACAACAAAAAATAACCTCAGATTTTATAAAAAATTCATCACTTATCAGCTTTTTATTCATTTATTTTTTTATAAAAATTATAGGAAATAACATCACTTATCAGCTTTAAACATCAAAACCCTTCTATGTCTAAATAGTGTTATCTAACTTGTATACTTTTCTCCTTAGTAATTATTACATATGTTTGGCAAGAACACAATAAACCCGTGTGCACAAAATTGACTAAGAAACAAAGCTCCAAATATCTTCCCAAACTTAGATCCTGCAAAGTCTATGAATAGATTAATCCCGCATGAGCCTTTGGCATCAAACTCATAACACAACAACTATGGCTGCCTTGTTCACCAAGTTTTGTTCTCAAGCTCTCTCACTATCTTCCTACTACTTCTCCCAGCCTTGTTTTCCCAATTCTATGCCGGAGTCGTTGTGGTTTATTGGGGTGTGGTGAAGGCTCACTCACAGACACATGTAACACTGGAAAATATCAAACTGTAAACATAGGATTTCTCTCAAAATTTGGCAATGGCCAAAGACCTGAAATCAACTTACAGCATCAAACGGCTGCCAAGGAGTGGGGGCTGACATCAAAAACTGCCAAAGCAAAGGTATCAAGGTCTTGCTTTCGATCGGTGGCGGCGCAGGAAACTATGGACTGTCATCTGATGCTGATGCTAACAGTGTAGCAGACTACCTATGGAACAACTTCTTAGGGGGCTGTTTGGGGGTGGTGGAAACCCACCTAATCCGGGCACGGGATATTGGATTGGCACGAGGAGAATACGGTCGGGCTGAACAGCTCTCTAAAATCGCAGCTGGGTTTTGTTCGAAAAGGGGCTGGAAACTGAGGTTGCGGCCAAGGTTTTTTCGCTGGGCATGACCCGAAAAAGTTGGGCATACAAGATGCGGCCTCACAGCTCGAATGGAGTTGGAAATAGCGGCCGGGCGTGATGAATATGCGGCCGGGTGTGATGAATAGGCAGCTGGGCACGATTTGGTGTGACCAGAGAAGAAGAATTGCGGCTGGGCTAGTGCATATGTATTGTTCTGTTGGGCACGGCCAGAATTGGAAGACTGCAGCCGGGCAGAATTGGAAGACTGCAGCCGGGCAGAATTGGAAGACTGCAGCCGGGCAGAATTGGAGGAGTTCGTAGCCGGGCAGAATTGGAAGACTGCAGCCGGGCAGAATTGGGGGTGTTCGCCG